CATCGTGCTAGTACTAGTCGTGCTGTGTCGAGCCATCGTAGTGGTGCAGACTCGTGACAGGTGTGTAGGCTTGGGTGGTAATCTCTTCGGTGTAACCACTACATGTTGCTAACTCACCAGGGCACTTCGATTTGTCGATACATCTCAGACACGAACTGGACGTAGAGCTCCACATACAGGTATACCAACACTCATCCTTCGCACAATTCTGGAAGTCACCAAAGCATGAAGCACAAGGATACGACAGCTTATTCATAGGGTCACTCAGAAGGCACTGTGTGGTCTTCTCAGCACGACCCCATTCCTTCTTGGCACAACCGGTGAGAAAATCGCTGAACTCTTGGCCATAAGAGCTCCAGAAATCATGATCTTGATCAGAGCATTGTCCAAGGACTGGGAGTTTGCTGAGAGTCCCGAGCGGACGAGGAGGCAGTTGGGCAGATCCATAACCGGTACAAGTCCCCAGCCCACTCCGGCATCTCGAACCTTCGATACAGTCCAAACACCAGTTGGACGTAGAATCCCACATGCAGTGGAACCAACACTCACTTTTAGCACAGTTCTCATACTCACCGAAACAGGTGGCACAAGGAGTAGACAAGTCACTCCTAGGATCGCTCGTCAAGCACTTCGCCGTCTTCTCTGCGCTTCCCCACTCTTTCTTGGCACAACCAGTAAGAAAATCACTGAACGTCTGACCATAGGAGCTCCAGAACTCATGATCATTGGTTGAGCACTGTCCAGCAAGGACAACTTCTACGGTAGCCACGGCGACGAAAGACTTCAACATACGAGACATCGTCCCAAAATCGAAGAATGCTTCACAACGGTGCTTTTCGGTGTAGCTGAGGAGCTATGTTGTGTGAGGGGACACCGCTGAGGGCTCGGCCTCAACTGAAACTTGAAGGGCGAATTATTGTGTCCTTGATACTTCTTGGAGATCTTCAGATTTACGAGTAGAACGATTCAGCCATGAATCAGTGCACTGGCTTATCCCTCCTGCCAAGACTCTCGGAGTCTTCTATCAGTGATGACGCTTTGACAATCAAGGTAAGTCAACACACAACACTATATTGCCAATACAGATTCCAGGGAGTTTTCCTCGTCGAGCGGCGAATAATTGCTGTCACTGACCACCCAAGGAATCAACAAACAGAAGTTTAACACACGAAAAATCAAAAGCCATCCTGGAATCAAGCGAGTGCACAATTAGCACATACAGAGCTCATTCAGCGTAAACCACACTGACAGCTCTTCCCAGTACTTACGTACTCTTCCGTAGTAGTACTCGAAGGCGTGTGAGTGGTACTTGACGGCGTGTGAGTGGTATTCTACGGCGTGTGAGTGGTATTCGAGGGCGTGTGAGTGGTATTCGATGGCGTGTGAGTGGTATTCGATGGCGTGTGAGTGGTATCCGAGGGCGTGTGAGTGGTATTCGATGGCGTGTGAGTGGTATTCGAGGGCGTACTAGTGGTGCTGTACGAGTGATAGTTGATAGTGTGCTAGTAGTTGTCGGTGTGGGAGTGACAGGACTGATGCCGTGTTAGCGGTAATTGACGGCGTGCTGGTGTTAATCGCTGGCATAAAAACGTCGACATCACAATCGAATCTGAAGTATGTTTGTGTAGTAGAGATGCACAGGTAACATTGAGTACCAATTGACCGCAACTCACACCTTGAGAAACAAGAAACGTTTAGTCATTTACAACAGGTGTCTTTATGGCCCTTAAGCCAGTCTTTCTTCTGACAAGTCGAGCTACAATACCAGACTTTCTTACACCGACTACAGCAACTCGAGCATACTTTACCGCACACTTCGCACATCCTATCAGTCTCCTCTAACTTGTTAAAGAAGCAGTAATACAGTACTTCTGGATTCGTATTGTCATTGCACTCCTCCCAGAATCGAAAGTCGAAGCCGACCTCCACTCCCCGGAGCTCATACACTGCAACACACTCCATGTTGCCTTTCCCACCTTCGCGATCCACAGGCACTCCGAGCTTCTTAGCAACGTCGCTATACCGAAAGTCCAACGATAGCGAGAGTGGCAGATCTCCTTGGTATCGT